TCAGCAAACAATACACATTTTAACAGTTTGGAAACACTAGATATGTCATTTATATATAATATAAATAATTTAGGGCCCAGCACAGAGCCCTGAGGAACACAAGTTACCTTCAACTGCTTAGATTTTACATTATTGAATTCGACATATTGATATCTTTCATCCAGGTAACTTTTCATCCACTTGTATGCTAACCCTCTTATGCCATATCTCTCTAGTTTATTCATTAATATAGATCAATTGTATCAAACACCCTTTTTAAGTCTATAAAAACACCAACAGTATATTCCTTATTATCTATAGCATTAGATATCCCTTCTACAAGTTCCATCACTGCCATCGAAGTGGACCTTTTCACTCTAAAGCCATATTGGTTATCACTTAGGAGATTATGCTTCTCAATATATTTATTAAGTCTATATTAAGTCGTTATTATTTCTTGACTCTGGAATTTCTTTTGCTAAATTAAAGCCAACATTTACAAAGAAATCATTAAATTCATTTGCAATGTCTTTCGTTTTATCAAGCACAATATCTTTATCTTTTTTAAAATAACCTGGATAATTCTTATTTTTTGAGCCCTTTTTGATTATACTGTTTAATATCCTCCATGTTTCTTGTGTGTTACTTCTACTCCAATAATTTGTGCTAATATTCTTTCTTACTTGTTCTTATAATATTTACTAATCTATTTTTATATAACTTGTACTTTATTTCAGCATCTTTTGTCCTCTGTTTTATGACTCTCTTATATAGATTATTTTTCTTTTTACATGCATCTTCTATCCCCTTTGTGATCCATGGCTTATTTGATCTGTGATGCTTTCTAGTGATTTTCATTAAAGGACAATGTTTTTCATATAGTGAAATTACAGTTGATAAGAATGCATCATATGCACTATTTGAATCTTCATTTGCAAAAACCTCATTCCAATTGCGTTCCTTTAAGTCCACCTGGAGGGCAGTAATGACTCTTGTTGTTCTATGTCGTATCATATCAAATATTTGATTCTTTTGTTTAGTTTTAATCCCAAAATAATTTTGAAAATTTTAAATTTACGATCTAACTACAAAGTTAGATCGTAAAAATTGCAATATTTCTACCAGTTTTTCCATTTAAATGTAGATCTGGCTGAAACTCTGCGAGGTTTTCTGTCCCGTACAGTTTTCAGGAGATGAGTTTCTAATCCGGATTCTAGTCAGACACAGTTAAGGGCTAATCACTGCAAATTAAAATTCCTTTTATTTTTCAGTAGCATTAGGGAGGATCAATAACTGATCTAATATCTCATCTTGATCTTCAGGGCCCCTTCAGCATCAGACCACAGTCATTAGCTTGGGACACACACAGGCACCCTCTGAGGAGCACATTAAAGACAAGAGAAAAAGGCACACTCGCGCGCGCACACACACAAACACACAACTGAAGGACACTGGAGTTGTAATGCAATTATGAATTCGAAATGTTCCAGTGTTAATGCAGTTTAAACCGCTGCCTGTGGAGATCCATACTAACCTGATATCAGGACGTCTGACCGGAGACACACAGTGTGTGTGTGTGTGTGTGTGTGTGTGGCAAGGTTTTTCTGCGCAGTGTACCAGGAGCACGGAGAAAAGTCGTCGTACCATAGGCACGAGAAAAGTTGTCGTACCATAGGTACGAGAAGTGTGTGTGTGTGTGTGTGTGTGTGAGCATGTGTGATGGAGACTCAATAAATTCACAGTGGCGTTGTGGCAGTGTACGTCTGTACATCTGGTCTCATATGAGAGTGTGGTGTCTTGCATTAACAGTGACTGTGAGCATCAGTGTGTCAGTCCAATAAAGCCTGTTACTCCAAGTCTTCAACAGTTAAGCCCTCAAAATAATTCAAATTACACCTGAAAGTCGACTTCTGGTGTCATAGTAAACAGCACGTGGTGGACAGCGTTGTTTATGATGAAACAGCCAACCATGCCGTTACTGTGCGGGTCAAATATAGACTGTTTATTTCTGTAACTACGTGTGGTTGGCAGTCAGAGCAGTTCCAGTTTCTTGAGCTTGTGCAAAAATACCAGCAGTAAAAATCTATTTCCCTTTTGAACTTCAGTTAAATTCTCTGCACAAACAGCCCCTCGCTCTTATTCGTCCATCCATTTTCTTCCACCTGGAGGCCAATTTCATTCACACCTATGGACAATTTAGAAACACCAACATGCATGACAGTGGGGGGGGAAGTCAGAGTCCCCATGTAGATATACAGGCCCACGGCAGGCCAGGGGATTCAAACCAAAGACCTCCTTGTTGTGAAACGACTGCACACATTAACTCTTGCAAACAGATAATGTTAATTTGGTAGTCGTCTTTGCTCTAGACATGAGCTGAGATGATAGAGATGAGTTGCTGTCTAGTGAGTTTGGGCTTTTATAGAGCAGTGAAATGCACAAAATAAAAACTATTAAAGTCATTTAACCTGAGATCCATCAACATTACACTGCCTTTTATTTATGTTCCTGTTGTGGGAGGTCAGAGTCTGGACTGAGATGGCTCACAGACTAGCTTTGGCCTTTGGGTTGTATGTCGCTCATGTGAGTATATCTGAATCTAAAAGGTCTATTTCTCCACAGATGGTGGTTCCAGATTACTTTGGTTTTTTTCTCATCAGGGCACTGGAGAATTGCAAACTGGTCCAGTGAGCACCTGAATGCTGCCGGTTCGTGTCAGTGGTAGTAAATGTGGCCAGCGCTCCCCTGGTTTGAAAGTAACTCTCATTAGATGAAGTGTAGGAGTTGTGATATTTGGCCACGAACCTCCACAGTAGCTTTATTTTCATCAGAGCGTATTCTGGCTGCATATTACTGGAGTCACGCAGAGCTAAAGCAAATATACACTCACGCACACGTCAAGCGTCAGCGTGCTCAGTGTCTCATTGGGGTTAATTCTTTGCGTATAAAAACAAACATAAAACACGCCCACAGACCGCCAGCACTGATCAACTCAGTCCAACTCTTATTGAGAATCTGTTCCAAAGCACCAAATACAGCCAACGCTTCAGCTCCCACACAGTCGACAGACGCCAACAGACCGATGCAGCACCAACACATCCCTGAAAGACACTCCAGCAGGTCTGATCTTATTCATCTTTTTGTTCTAACTCTTTGCCCTCTGGTTTTGTTTCTCTCAGGTGAACTGAGTCTGGTCCCTCAGGTTATGTCAATTAAAGGTTATAGCAAAGCTTTTGGGGGAGCGCACAGGCAATGCTTGAATGGCTTAAGGTTTACTTCAAAGGTAACTGAAACAAAAACATACAGAATCAGTCAAATCAGACAAGAAGAGAAAAATTTGTGATTTTCCCCTAAAAGTTACACATTTATTAAACACGCAGCTTCACATAATTTCGCCTAAACAGATCAATCCAGAGCATCCACATGATTAATGCCCATGCCTCCTCCCACCAGAGGACTGCACAAACAGGAAGCTAATGAATATTCTGAATAGATTGCCGGGAATAAAATATAAATACATTTACCTACATTGACTGGCCCAATAAAACAATAGATATACCTGCCACCACACAGCTGAAGCTGTAATAAAACATCTCCTGCAGCCACACAACTGGCTGTTGATTGGCTCCCTGGATGCAGTGGTGGGCCAACTGCCAAGAATCGCACTACATAATTCTTCTACTTCTACTCGTGGTTATCTGAGTGCCATGTGTCTCTCATATATTTTCACAGGTTATATAAAGAGACAAGAAATAAAGCAGAACTACATTACCCAGAATCACACGTGACCATACAAAGTGTTAGTGTTCAGGACATCACTGCTGCTAACATCACACACACTGAGCCATTAGAAAAATCACTGGTGTATAAATCAAACATGGAACAAACTCTGCTGTTACTATTCGAGGCCTCTGCTGACACGCATCCTGCCCGAGTTCACCAGCAGCAAGTTCGTGCTTGTAATTTAGGAATTAACGGACACACCCAGAATTAGGAGGAAAGTCACTGTGGTACGGGAGTTCAAGCCTCTGGAGGAAACATCCTCAGTAACACCGACACACACAACACAGTGAACCTGTCGGTTCACAGCTCGGTCACAGTCTGCCCCCTCGTGGACAAATTAAACACTACAGCTGCATCTTTGGATATTATGGCTAAAAAATGACTGCGTTGCACCTGCAGTCATTCCAGCCTTTGAATATTCTGAGCTTTTTGTTTCAATTTCAAGCATTTTGCATGTTCTGCAGAACAATGCATATACCTGAAGGCATTATTAGTTTCATTGTTGGTTCAGTTATAATGTGTGGTATTTGTCTGATAGATATCCCAGTGTCAGTAAACATGCACCAAAGCTCAGGCTTGTTTTCTTTAGTTTTGTAAGTGGCCATTAAAATCTCTGTTTTTATTTCGGTTTTGTTTGCACACATAGTTCAGCTCACTCAATTCTCTGTCATAATCCCGCTGGCCTGTCACAGAGGTAGAATATCACACAGTGCATGTCCATGAACACGGTTCTGAATGTCTCGATCTTATTATTCTAACCCTGAGTGCATGAAAGAGAGGGATGACGTGACGCTGATCCTGTCTGTTTAAAAATAATGCCAAAGCACGTCATCATCTGGTTCCTCTTACATGTTTTCCAGTAAACTGAGAGCTAATTTATCACTGCATTTATCAGGCACAGCTCCACAAATGTACAAGCACATTTCACTGTAGCTAAAAACACACTGAGGAGTGCAGAGCAAACACTTACCCAATTTAAATATTTAGATTTCAGCACTGAGAAGTCACTCGACTAATCTCCAATTCATTCTGCAGCGAGACAACCAGCTCCTCAAAGCCAAAAATCACAGAGAAGCAACACTACTACACTACTACTATTATACTACTACTACTACTACTACTACTACTACACTTTGTATAAAGTTAACTTTGATTACGATCAGAGGCCAGAATTTAGTTGATTTTGCAGCCCTCATCGATCACTTCAGCACGCATGTCATGTATTTAGAGGGACTTACTTTTCATAGTGCCAGCATCTTCGTCATCATCATCGTCCTCGTCATCATTAGAGTTGATGACCATGGTGCCCAGCTGTGACTGCAAGGTTCCCGTGTCATCGTGTTCAATCATTGTTCCTGCGGAGCTTCCAAGAGAACTTCCTAAAGAACCGGCAGCCCGGATGGTTCCTGAGTCACCCGTACCTGCCCGAACCATCGTCCCCTGGTCAACCTCATCTTCATCCTGAAACACAGAGGCAGAGGGCAGCGTGATTTAATGCTCTCCAACGGCAGTTACAATATCCAGAAAGGACATGTTTATAAATATGAGGCTGTGTTTAGCTTTGGAAAGTTAGAAATCAAAAGCTCGTCAAATACAAAAACACTCGTAAGTTAACGTCTTCTTTTGTTGCAGTAACTTAAAAGCTGTAAATGCTATCCTATTGATATTTAAGTTGCTGAGTCTGTACCGAATTCTCATCGTCGTCTGCATCCTGCTCTCTTTGTTCTTCCTCCTGTCTCTTCAGTTTGATCTCCATGGCGTCTGTGATCAAAGCTCTGAGGATGGAATTGGGCTTGGCCGATTTAATAAACGGATGCTGTCGAGGAGAAAGACACGTAACGCTCAAACCAAACGTTTATGGGTTTTGACATTAGTTACAATTAGAAATGATCCATGAAAGCTAAAGCATGACCACAATAGCAAATATTACAGCAAATACTACGATTATGTAAAAAATACTACTATAATATGATGTAATAAACTGAAATTCCAGCCAGCAACAAAACAAAATAAAATGAATGGTTAAGTGAAGCTGTCCACTAAAAGACAATATCAAAAAAATAAAGCTCATTAATGTAAAAAAGAAAATATTCAAAAATCAAATCAAAAAAATGTAAAAATTTAAAATAAAAATACATTTGATTTGAAAAAGTTAAAGAGCAGGTCACACAATAAAACAGAAATAAAAATAATAAACAGATTAAAAAATGAGCACATTTTTTTTAATAGTTATTACCTCATTTACATAGTGTGGCTTTAATAATTAAAAATCTAATTTAAATATCTAAAGGTTTGAATGTTTTCTGATCACACGGTCATCCACGACACTCGGTCTGTTGTCAGTTACAGGATTGCTTCGTTACCTGTAACAGCTGTGTGGCCGTAGCTCTGTTTTCTGGGTTCTTCACTAAACACTGGCTGACAAAGTCCCGGAAGCCCGGAGACCACAGATCCGGGTTCCGAAAGGTTGGGGGAGGGTTTGTGGGAATCATGAAGATGGCCTGGAAGAGGAAACAGTTCAGCACACTGAAGGCAAAACCAGCTAACCATCACTGTTCAGCTAAATACAGTAATTTATGTCACACTCCTTCGTTTCCTCTCTTTGTCTTCTCTTACACACACATACAGCTGTTATTATTTACATACTAACTTTTTGGGGCTTACACACACAGTGCAAACACACTTGCACTGCTTTCTACTAGAGATGTAGAAAGCAGCTGGTATCTGTATTTATATTTGTTGAGGGGGGAAAGTATTTGTACTTGTATTTGTATTCAAGTAAAATTCAAAAAAATTTGCGTTATACTTTTAATTAACGTAATAGAATTAAAGAATACTTGCACTATCCTTTATAATCATTATGGATATGCAATATTAGTTGATGTTTTTCCATAAATCCAGCAATGAACATGTAACAAGGAACGTCATTGAAAAGAAAATAACATAACAGCCATTACCTCATCAGTGGTCAAACCAACAACTGATAAAATACCATTATGAACATTATGAACCCACCACCACCCGTCCTGTTGGAGGAGACTGAACAGACAGCGAAACTGACTTGCAGGGGCAGAACAAGGCTGTGATGATGAATTGGTGCTTGTTGGGGGGTTGGCAGACAGTGCCAGGAGAGGATGCTTTAAGTGCATGTGATTACGCATAACAGATGTTGACAGATGTTTGATATGTGTGCCTCTGCTGATCTGACTTTTGCACACATTACATATCACTTTGGTTTCATCTGCAGCACTGACTGAATGCTTCCACACAGAACTTGATCAAGTTGTTTTGGCTGGTGGAGGACCAAGAGGTGGCTCAGCAGCAGCCACACTCTTTTCTATTTTGTTGCCCAAATCCATGTGGGGAGTTTCAGCTAAGTTCATGCGTGACGGGAAGCTATGCTAAGGTTAATTAGGTATAGTAACTTAAACGTATCATATAACTCCCACAAGTGCATACAATTTGACACAACTACACAAGCATCGTTTTAACCTTTTAAACCAAACTTTAATGTTACTCTGTCAACAGCCTATTTTTAAATGACCGAGCTAACAAAGCTACGTAAACAGAGCGAACATGAGTTAAAGTTACCATTGAGAGCACTGACTGCAGTCGTCAGTAATGCAGCGTAATGGAATAATCTCTCAATCTTCGCAAAAGTTATAAACTGCCTCCGGAACCCAGTTAAGGTACAAAGAAATATATTCAACAAAAATAGTGACGCAGTTCAGCCTTTTTTCACTCAGCCGAGCCTCTCTGTCAGTCACCTCTTCCATTCACTCATCCGGTCGTGCACTGCGGTCTCATAAGGAAACTCAGCTTTTTGATATAAAGTTTTTCTTGTTCCCGAATACAAATATTTTTTCAAGTATTTGTTCAAAATAAGTATTCGTAAAAAACACGTGATTTGTGGACTATAACACGATACGTACCCTCATTGGGTGTATGTCCGCGTAGGGTGGCTTGCCCTCAGCCATTTCTATAGCTGTTATTCCCAGAGACCAGATATCTGCCACACAGTTATATCCGATCTCCTGTATGACTTCTGGAGCCATCCAGAACGGCGTGCCGATGACAGTGTTTCGTTTCGCCATCGTGTCCTGATGAAGGATGGAGAGAAAATAACATAAAGTAAAGCATAGAAGGTTAAAGCTTCTACAACATTCAAAGGGCAGATAGCATCTTTATTCAGCTACTGGTGTTTAATTGTGTTTTCTTTCTATATTAAACCAGATATAACAAAACATTTAAAACACATCAAACATACATCATATGCATTTACAGTAGCAGATTGATTTCTCTTACTGTGAGCTGTCCAGCAACTCCAAAGTCGGCCAGTTTGGCCTGACCCTCCGAGTTCAGCAGGATGTTGCCTGCTTTGATGTCTCTGTGGATCTTCCTCATGAAGTGAAGATACTCCAGACCTTTCAGAGTGGACTGAAGGATGGTGACTATCTCCTCTTCTTTGAGCTACAAGGCAAACGCAAGTAACATTAATTAGATTCATGTATGCAAAGCAATGTTCAAACAAGACGTAGCACTGATGTGGAGGAGGCACATCTAAATATTCTTAAACTGAAACCGTAGAGATGCATCAGACTAACATTCATTTATCGAAAACCTTGAAGTCGTGCAGAAGCCTTACACACACGCTGTGCTCCATGCAAACTACATGTGAGTGAGTGTGTGCGTGTGTGTGTCTGGGTGTTACATTACCGTCTTGTTACGTATTCGGATGATATCCGATACGGACCCAGCGCCACAATATTCCATGACGATCCACAGGTCTGTGTTTTTGAAGTAGCTGCCATAGTAGCGCACCACGTGGGGACTGAACACAGGGACATGGGTGAGTCAGACCACATTCATCCATTTATTTCAGGATGTTTGAGATTCAATGTGTTGCTTTTATGCTCAGTCAGGCTACGATTCTCTCCCTGATGAAACTTATTTCCTAAAGTTGAGCTCAACATTAGCAGGAGACCTTATGTGACCTTATGAAACGGCCAGCTCACGTCTGAGTTGTGGTGCAATCACACAGGGGTGAAGTGAATTTACAGACATCTGTGGTTAGTTTCAGAGTGTTTGTTCAAGTTTAGTTATTATTGTTTCAAAGTGTTTAGTGTTGTGCTAACTCACAATGGACTAAAACTACCACAGAACCTCTGAGGTTGATGAAATATTGTAATAGTTATTTTGTTACTAAATGTAATACTTTACTGATCTCACTATTTTTCTAGTGGAAATCACAGTTTGTATTATCTGCAGATCAGCAGACAGAGTGCAGTAGTACAGCATCCCCAGGCCCTGATGAGGTTTGTGAGTCAAAGTGAAAGTGTCGCTCACGTTTGAAGAACACTCTGGAACTGCTGGTACTTTGTCTATTTATAGCTGCTGCAGCAATGAATGAAAAACCTCAGTAAACACTTTTATATGACAGACTCTGCAGGTCTGGTACACTTCCCAGTGAGAAACAGACCATAATAATGTGTTTCCCCTGGAGAATTATATAACAGTCAGTTGGTGTGGAGGTGGGGCTGTCACCTTATGGGAAAGCCCCCCCAGAAAAACTTAATGAAACTTTCTAAATGTTTCCGCAGAGGCTGAAATCACTTACTGTAAATGTTTCGAGTATCTGCTTCACTGCTTTTCAGCAATTTAACCAAACATCTACGCCCACACTTCTCTTACGGGGGACTTTTTTTAATCCAGTTTGAGGTCGTGTGTAATTACAGGGCGGAAGGACGTGTGCAAAAGATGAGCGGCAAAACGCTGACCACACAAAACACCAAGTCACACCAGTGATGCTCTTACTGCCTTTGGGTTTTTCTTATGTTTCATGGCACACGGATCGAGTTCAGTAACGCATGTACCTGTTACACTGCTGCATGATGGAGATCTCCTTGATGATCTCTTGCAGATCAGACTCCACAGGAACTTGTTTGATGGCTACGATCTCCCCAGTTTCTTTATAATGAGCCTTAAATACGCAGCCGTAAGACCTGCAGGAACACAAAGAGAGGCTTAACATGTTCTTTCGGCTGTTAATGACTGAGATCAATGAGCAGATAGTTGTTATCTCCAAGTTTAACCAAACAGTATCGAGCCACACCCAAGAGTTGGTGAGGCTGCTCGATTATAACAGAATTTAAATGATTTTCATTAACTTAAACACAGACAGTTACTGAACTTATAAACTTCATTTTAACAGATTACATTTACTGAAAAAGGAGAGAAGCCTTTTTCTTTTTCAGTCTAAGGGATGCTCGTCTGTCCGTGCTGGCCTTTACAGCAGGATGTGTGAAGGTGCACAAAGCAGTAAAAAAGCAGAAGCTGTGAGCTCAGGTGCCTCGGAGGACCTGCATGATGGCCAGCAGGTGGGCAACAGCGGCCCTATATAAGTCATAATGTCCGAGTTCCCAGTCGGGTTTTTAAAAATGGAACGATCCCTCAAGTTGGATTTCCAACTCAGAAAGTCAGAGGAGCCCCACGAATCCTGAGTTAAGGATCCAACAGTGGATGGAAAATAGTCAAAGCTAATCTGTGCTTTATTAATATTGATCTGTGAATAGCTGTAACGTGCTAAGAAGCAACAAATCCTCTTTTTCCTGCTTTTCCAACCGTATTACTGGAACTCACTCAGCTCTGAGGTGAAAGATGCTGAGCGATCTAGAGACAAACGCACCTGTTAACGATCTTTCCACAGGTCTTCCTTCAGAAACCTTGTAACTTTTTCTTTCCCTAGATAAACTCTTTCTTTCAGTCATCTTGTACTGCGCTTAACTAGACAGCAAGTGAAAAGCACGCCTCTGTATAGGAGAGCGGTGGGCTTCATTTCTAACACTGGAAAAATATGAGAGGGTTGTAGCAAAACTGAATAGAAACTGTGAACCTTTTATCCTGATTATTTTGTTTTCACAATCGCTGGAAACCAAAATTCAAGTAACCGTCTAAGAAGAGGTCCTTCTTCTCTTTCTCCACTGAAAATAGCCCTCGGGGGGGTTCCCACACTTAAAGGTGTGGCCTCCCAAAAACTGTCTGCGAGTTCCTGCAGTGGAAAGACTTCACAGACACATTAATTAGTGACTGATGTCAATAGTAAACATCAGTGTACTATTCAATTTATTTCATTACTTTCCCACCAACAGTTTTTCTCACTTTGACAGATGAAGCAAGAGTGAGAAAAAGCTGTGATATGAGCATGAAAGAAAACGGGTATGAAAAAAATAGTTTCATTAAAGCCAGCGTTACTAATAAGACGTCTTTATTGCAAAAGTCGAGCAGCACCGAATGACTTTGATTAATTGCAGGATCATTAAGAAATGTCTGGAATCAGCTATGACGCGTGCAGGCGAGGAGTCAATCAACCGCTCGGAACAGGAAGCACATTGCCTCTTCATATCCTGTTTCTCAATGTTGACAGGCAACAGAGGAGGGCGGAGCCTGAAGTCTGACAGGAACAGAGATGAAATGAAGCAGAAAGAAGGACAGAGATACGGAGAGGACCAGGATGACTAACACAGTCCAGGATGACACATAAATACAGGCAAAGTGAAACTTTGCTCCTGTCAGGACCGAGGTGAGCCTCAGACTGTACGGCTACATGACTCACCCTTCACCCAGCTTCTCCAGGACATCAAAGACTTCCTCTGGCTGCTTGGTGAGACTGTCCTCGCTCAGCTTCTTCAGCTGTCTGCAGTGACAGAAAGAACAATTTTCAGGATTTTTGTTCGTGGTTTTTGGTTATTTGTCTCATCGTTTGCAGCACACGATCACAGCTTTTGTACACTACATGCCTCTAAAGCACTTTAGGACAACTCCTGCTGACCTAAACTGACACTCTGGCACTTTCACATTAAAAAAATATTGCAGAGTGTGCCAGTAATTAACACCTGAAAGTAAAAAAAAACAAAAAAACAATTGTAAACGCATTAATTTGGTGCAGGGTCTTTATTATTATTATTTTTTGTTCCATTTTCCACCCTCAAGATAAAAAAATGTTAAAAGCTTAACATTTCAAGGCCAACATTTTATGCAGTAATGAAAACAGTAAATACATTTTTTTCCTTCCAACAAAAGCATGTGTGTAATCTGAGAGAAGACTTTATTACTGAATTCAGCCTTCTTCTGAGTGCTGATCACGTTCATTCTCTCCTGAAACATTAAAATATCTCCACAACCTTTGAACTGAAGAGACAAAAATATCTCTACGCAAACAAAAATAGATGCAACATGTCCCAGATGCAGCTTGTGATGAGATATTTTTTTAGGATAACTGAAGGTCCTCTGCTCACAAGTCCATGGGAATAAAATAAAAATGCAATACTATGTTATAATAGCATTACTTCTACAGTTAGGCTAAGTAATGCTAATATGATCACGATATTATAAAGGGAACACCCAGACATGCAAGCTTTAGTATGAAATGTGGTCACTTAATTTTTTTTTAAAATTGGCATTAATTTACAAAAACAGGGTCACTTTGAACTCCTGCTGATAAGCAGATGAATACACCTACATATTAGGGGTGCAACGATACTCGTATTGATAATACCACTGTATCGAACAGTTCAATATCAATTTGATATTGAACTGTTCGATACAGTGCTTTCATTTCGGTACACATATGTATCGAACAATACAAAATTATTTATTTATTTTATCAACTTTTCTTCTGACGATGCTGTCTGTGTTGAGAGCTCAGTGGATCTGCGTTCGACTACTCCGCCTAGGCTGCACTGTCGAGCGCAGATCCACTGAGCGCAGCGCAAGCTAGCAAGACAGAAGCTAAGCTCGTTGCAACATGGCAAATTGAACCTCCCCCACCCTCATTCAGATCTGGCCTTTGGAACTATTTTGGTCTTCACGTGATGTATGACCCTGAAGGTAAGCGCGTCATGGACTAAAGTAAAACAGTATGTTGGATGTGCCACGCAATGCTCAATTACATGGGTGGGAGCTAGTGCATAAGCGCAGTTAGCTCGTTAAGGTGTTGATGCCGTCCAGCCCCATACACGGGGCGATCGTGCGGTAGCTCGTTAACGGAGATTTGTTGTGGCGTTAACGTCATTTCAGATTAACGCTGACAGCACTAGAGGGAACACAACGAATATGACTGCACATTTACACCGACATCATCCTAGTGCAAAGACAAGTGGAGGCAGACAAAAACAACAAGCACGCATGCTACAAACTTTAATATGTTTAATATGCTGCTGAGAATATAGCCCAGAAGAAGCGTATAGTATAGCTTTTATTTTGGAAAGAGCCATTTCTCTGTAATAAAGATGAGTGATTCCTCAATCAGATAGATTTTTTTTTACTACTTTGTTGTTTCAACAACATTAAATTTAAAAACTGTACTTCTGAGTTAAAATATATATTTATAACTTAAATAAATGACAAATTAAACATTTTTTTGTATCGACAAAATACCGTGAATTTTGTGTATTGTTGCACCCCCAATCAATCAATCCTCTCTCTCTCTCTCTCTCTCCACAATTTATACTTTATATACAACAAAGTAGATTACTGATGTTCAACGAGCCTGAGGAGTGACTATCTTGTTTGAACTGATATAATTATGACAAAGAGTCTTTGTTACTCTAAGATTATAGATTTTCTAGTTATTTGTGGAGACATGAAAAGTTTATTTCTAGATTGTTAAGAGGCAATTAAACAGATCAAGTTCTGTAACAAGTTACTTTTTCTACAAGTACTTAGTACAGTAAGGGAAGTGTAAAAGACTCTTGAACAGGTCGGTTCTTTTTATTAATATTATTAGAAAAAAAAGCACAAAATAGTGGAGCAACATCGGTTAGCAGTAGATCGTTTTCGACTCAAAATCTTTTCTATTAACTAGAAGCTGTTGGGAATGTTATGATTTAAGTAATAATGATGGCCTTGACTCCGAGACTCTGAATCACAGCAGCTGTAAAACAGAGTGGCAGCTTCTGCTTGGGCAAATAAACTATGATTACTTTACTGCTGAGTAATAACAGGGAAAAAACTGTAGCTGGCTGCTGTGCTGAGACTTCAAGCGTATACCTGAACTTACCTGGACTGTATTTACACTTCTGTGAGAGAATTTAAATCCAACTCAGTGAGAGCAGGTCTCATTTATTCTAAAAACAACTGACCAAAGATCCAGCCGAGTCATATCCTGAATAATCTGCTGCCTCCTCTCTCGTTGTATTTGACTTGTGTTTGTCTAAATTTTGTGTTCTGAGTATTTGGATTAGTATTTATAGTATTTAATGATTATTATTGACGTCTGAGGGACACTGCAAAGCCAAAGCAATAAATGCTGTGTGTTGTTCCAGGGTCATACTGCATGCTTATCTCTGTAGAAATAAACATTCAAGTATAAATAAATAATTAATAATAAATAACACTAGTAGGGGTTAGTGCAGTTTGAGCCTCTTAGCGACTCTAAACAAAAAGGTTTATCTTATTTCTTTAGCCACAAATAACACTGACCGATTTCAAACACTCGGCCCAACACAGCACTCAGATATGAACACATGAGGACTATTTCCATTTTAATCTGCTCTAGTTTGAATTGTGAGGCCTGATATTACAAATGGTGACTGTTATTGCATCTACAGAGTAAACAGAGATGTGTTTTATTGCCCTTTTTATAAGTGTGCATTCATCAGTGGGATTACACAAAAACCTGACCGACAAACTTTATGCAAAGATAAGGACGTGTGACCAGAAGAAGTCTGGAGCAGATTAGAAGTGTGAAAATGATTTTTATGGTCTGAGCTAGGGCTGAACGATATATCGCATTTGCGATAATATCGCGACATGATCAAGTGCAATTTTCTAACCGCAAAGGCTGCGATTATACTCTGGACATGTCCAAATTCATGGGCTGCATCCTCCTGAGGCCGCATTTGTAGACCGATTACGTCACAGCGACGCGCCGAAGGCTGTCCAAATTACTACCATATCCCAGAATTCATAGCGCGGCCCAGCCAAACTCCAGTTTCCAGCAATGGCGGCCGCTACTAAGTTTTAAAATTACTCATACTAATCTTTCTGGGTCACAAAATAAACTTTTAAAATATTTTCAGGCGAGAAAGTAGCTGTGTAAACATCAAATATCTGCTCGGTTTACCAAGATATCCCATATTTGCAAAAGTGCTTCGACGTTTTCAGAGGCGTCTGCTACCCACCAGCTCGACAGCTAGCCGGGAGCTCGAGGGTTACTGATGCGGCCGAGAACGGCACAACTCCCGGCACATCATTTTCAGATCACCGCGGAGTTTCGCTGCTCGGGTTAAACGTAATATATAAGTCACTTAGACAACCTAAAAATGTTATTGTTGGGCTTTTTTCAGTGTTTTGTTTGTTCGTGAGTAAATCGGTTTGGCTGAGATTAAAGTTATTAGATTAGATAAAATAAAACTTTATTAATCCCCCGGGTGGGTTCCTCCTTGGTTTTCACACAGCTGACTAAACGTCAAACAGAAAACTTATTAAACAGAAGTATGAGACAGTCGAGAATTTACACCAGTGTCTGGTTATATTTTAGATAGCAAGAAGCAGACGGCCGAGTTTATTAAACTCCACCGAGACAGCGGCGACGCTAATCAGAACTAGCCTTCTGATTAGCTAATCAGAAGGCTAGACCGTCCAATTTCACGCCTTTAAACTTTAAAGGCGTGTTTGTGTGTGTGTTTATACAATTGCTATTATGTTTGCACTTTATGTGTAATGTTACTGACTGCAGAGATCAGTAAGATGTGTGTATTTTTTATTTATTAGTTTGATTTATTTAATATTATTTTTTAATTGAATGACTGTCTAGTAGTTCACAGATGTCGAAAAACTGAGTGTGGTAAAGCCACTGATTTTTTTTATGTATATTTCTGCAATCTGCACATTGTACTGACTTTCATTTTAATGTTTACACCAGGGTTCCTTGTCAGCACTTTATGCTCAGATGTTTGTAAGCTAAAAATAAACTATTGTGTATGTTCAAATATACTGTTGTGATTGAAGAAGTTAAATAAAAATGTCAGTCATCAATTCATGCATCACCTCATGTCATCATAACAGAGGTCTGTCTTCCAGGAAAGAACAGTTTAAAATTAATGTAATATAGTATTGGCCATACTATATGATGTATTGCTTGTCTTTGTTTAATAATACAGAAGACAAAGACCTTAAAAAATAATCGCATATCGCATCGCAATCGCAATATTGGGGCAAAAAATCGCAATTAGATTATTTTCCATAATCGTTCAGCCCTAGTCTGAGCTCAAAAAACATCATACAAGATTTTTTTTATAAGAATAAAATCCAAAAACAAAACAGCAGAGATGGCAGAGAAGTCTTTACAACACAGAGAACATCTCTTTAAGAACATACTGAACGCTGAGAGCCGGTCTTTCTCTTGGTGTCTCAGGCAGCCTGATTTGTGAGTCTGTGCCTCTCTAAAGCCAGCAAACCACATTTTCTACCTCACACTGCCCAGCACAGCTCAGTAAGCCAAGCTGTCCAGTGTATCAGCGTCAAGCCACAAAAGAGAGAGTGAGAGCAAATCATTGAGATGCTAATCTACCACAGCAGCCCATGATCTGCATTTCAAGTGAACTTCTAAAAACGCATGTGTGGATCTGCTGAGGCCAAAAGACCTGGACTCCTGTTCCTAAATTTAAAATCTTTGAACCTAAAATCTCCTTT